AATGTGACATTTATACACAATGGAATATTATTCTGCCATAAGTAGGAAAGATAAACTTGAGGCATTTGTAGGTAAATGAATATGCCTTGAGACCATAATGTTAAGTGAAATAAATCACACATACACACACACACACACACACACACACTTAAATATCACATGATGTCTCTTGAGAAACCCAAAATATAAATGGAGAGCAAAATAAAGGATAGATAATAAAAAGTAGAGAGATGTTTTTCAAATGGGAAGAGGAAGAAGAGAGGGAAGGAAGGGGAGAGAAGAAATAGAAAGGGGATTTTTAAAAAAGGAAATAGAGCTTTTTCAAATGGGAAGGGGAACTAGAGTTGGAGGGAGCAGGGAGGGATGGGATGGAAAAAGAACAAAACAGAACAGAGATCTGTTATGTGCATGCACAGACTCCCCATGGTCACTGTAACCATCACGGACTACGTGCACATACTTATAAAAATAAATCAAATGATAAAAAGAAAGGACTGCAAGACTCTGCTGCACTCACTCTGTTACTCTGTAACATAAACTTCAAAGACCAAAGCTCCAGGGCACTGAGAGAAAGGGCCACTCTCAAGCATAGGGTCTGAAAGACCTTCAGGTACAACTTTGCAAGAATCTTACTACTTGCATAAGCAGGCACTTGTTCTACAGATTAAATGACCAAAATTTGTGATAGGAATGTTGGCTTCCCAAGAACTCTAGGCAGAAGTTTCCAGTAGGTCTTAACACTTTCTGGTCATGATAATCAAACCAGGCTAAACAGGTACAGCCAGATGAACGCTCCCAACAAGCATTCTGGCCTAGTTGTCACCAGGGGAGCTTTGGCTATAAACAGTGCCCCATAGATCATTACTCGGGTAGTTAACCCACTGACCTGGAATCAGCCAAAAGCAAACAAAAATTCAGGCATCGATAGAGATAAGCAGAGATGCCTTGGTCAAGTTGTAAAATAACTCACAAGACTTTTTGTTACAATCAAAGAGTGTAATTCTGATGAACTTCTGGAAAATTCTGATTAACTAACGGAAAATTCTGATTAACTAACGGAAAATTCTTTAGTCTTGGGATTAGGCATTAACAGGCATTTCCAGGAAAGAAAGTGGAATGACAAGGTGCTGCCAGGGCCTAACAGAGTTCCAATCAATTTTTCAGTCCCTCTATTAAAAAAATTCAAATTCATAGGAAAACGGGGATTTCAGCAGCTAAACAGGTTGTGTGTCTGTCTCCAGCCTAAGGACTCCTGATAATAGTCACACTAGATGGATAAAAAAGTAATTTCTGGAAAGAAAACTGTTCATAGAAAGGCAAAACCCATTCCAGAATGCCAAAATCCTGCCAGTGTTCATTATGGTTTATAAGCAATCTTGGCAAGTGAAAAGTCTCAGGCAATTCATGTAGAATATTTTATGTCTAAAGCAATAGCATAAATCTGTTCCTTCTGAACACGGTGTTCTTTCCTCTTCTCTTCAATGTTGTACATCCCACCCACCACCAGCAGCACACATCCATTTCCATTTCAGGAAACTTTGCATACCAGCTGATAGGAAGAAAGGGTGCAAAAAATAGCAAATGGTTTCAAAGTAGGTTTTCTTATTATCAAACTTATATATGCCTAATATGGACAATTTTGAGTGAAGAAAACTATTCAAAACTTCAAAACCACTTATACTTGAATCACACAGGCTAAATTCCTATAAATATGGTGTTATGCTTCCTACCAGGTCTTAGGTCACTATTATAGTTTTGTCTATATGATTATATAGTAAGACAAACATTAATCTATGCCCATAATGTTATATAATTTGGACTGTATTATCAGTTCATGTATGTTTGAAGGTTTTTTCCCTTCTTTTTGAAACTTTGTTTTATAAGAAAAATTTTTCAGTCATTATATCTTTTCAAGTTTATTATTTTTCCCCACATAAGTGTGTACATATGTGTATATATATGTGTGTGTGCATATATATATTTGCATATATATATACACACTATATATATATATACACACCCCAATATGTGTATATATACACACACACATACATACATATTGGGGTGACTTTTAAAAGCCATGTAGAATAGCACAGTTAAGAATCTGTAAAGAAAAAACGCAACTCTATGACCCAAAGTAACCTTGGAAATGAGGCCCACAGGGAAAGCCAGTGGAAACCAGCCCCTGAACTAGCTAGGAAGAGGCAGAGGAGGAATGAGCCAGCAGAAATGAAACTATTTAGCATGTGTAAAGGGGCCACTCAGAGTCAAGAACTGCCCCAGCTAGTCCCTTCTGAGAAAGAAAACACCATCAATAACAGAATTCTAAATCTTGGCCTCAATTTAACTTGTTTGTGAGTCCTTTCCCATTTTCTGGCCTCTGCTTCCCACCTCACCCAGAGCGGCTGTATTTTTGGTGTCTCTAGATGCTTCCAAGACCCTCTGAGAATTTATTTATAACCAAAGGAACTCAATTTGACTTGCCATGAGCCACAAAGACCAAGGCTGGGAAGGGGAGGCCTGTGTGCTTTGGGGCACAACCATCCTTTCAGTGAGCATTGAATTTTTTTGTGGATCCCTGCTCAGGGCTACAACCCAATCAGAAATGCAGAACAGAAGTGAAAACTGTGTGAAACAGACATTTGATTGAAGGAAGGCCAGCTACAGTGAACTTATAACTACGGGAATATTTTTACTTTCTGCAAATTTTTTGCCTCTTTTTAGTTCTACATAATCTACTAACATTAGAGATGAATAAATCACAGGAGCCATTTAAAAAGCCATTTTAAATGAGATAAAATTATGAAAATGTCTCTGGAGTGACTTTTTCAAAGTCATTGCATGTGAATAATACCAAATTTAAAGTATTAATTTGGTCATGTCAACATGGGGGTGGGGCTTAAGATTTTTACAAGATTCAAGCTCAATTTATCTGAAAGTTGTTTTTTTTTTTTTTCCACTACCGGGAACTGAACTCACGACCTTGCGCTTGCCAGGCAGGTGCTTTGCCGCTGAGCTAAATCCCCAGCCCCTATCTGAAAGTTTTATTGAAGTATCCACACTGTGTTTTCCTAAAGCAAATTCCAGTCCTTTACTTTTCCACCAAAAATTACTGAGCTACTTTTCTTTGTTAATAAGGTAAATGCTGACCCAAAACAAGAACCAGGCTTAATATTGTAAATCAAGGTGCTATATGATATGCAATGGCAAACGCATCTCTTATCAAAAACAGCACTCCCACGTGTGACATCTAAATCCTAGGAGTAAATTCCAGGTTAATAATAGCACAGAAGGATTGCAAATTTATTCATACTATAATCATAAATAAAGGAAATGTAGACTTCCATTTTGTCCAGTAATTGAATCTGCCTTTTTTAAAAGCCTCCACCTGCTGGATAATGAGAGAAGAATGCTTAGTAATCTTGGTTTGGTACAATAATTAGAAATACCTCTTCAGTAAATGTGCCATCTCTGTAGGTTAGCTTCTCCAGTGTCAACCCGGAACATCTCTGGTTTTATTCATCTGGACTGGCCTTCCTTCTGGAGTTTGTTGTTGAAGGCTGCAGCTTTCCCAGGCCTCACACATGGGACTCTGTGGCCCTCCATGTTCCATGTTTGTGTGGAGTGTGAAGGCCTTAGAGCCTGCACCTCCTCTTCCATCTGCTCTTGGCTCAATCTGTGTGTTTAGCGGGCAGTTGGGTAGGTGTCATCCCCTCACCTTTCTCTTACTGTAGAGCCATGGCCCAGTCACTGGCTCCCATGGAAGCCTTGGGGTCTGAGGTCTGTTTACACACAGACATGCTTAGGAGGCCTAGAAAGCTAAGCCTCTGGCCTTCCACTCAGTTCTGCTCTCCAGCAACTTGACTGGCCACAACCACCCCACCCCACCTCCCAATCTCCAGCTTGAGGTTGCTGGCTAAACTAAAGCTTGCTGCAGAGTTACAAGGGGAGAGATGACTCCTGTCCTTGAACCCATTCCCTTGGCAGCTAATCTGAAAGAAAACAAATGGGGTCATCTGCTTCCCATTCTAGTCTGTTCCATTTTTCCATTCTTCCAGCCTTGTCCTGTTGGGGGAAGGTTGCAACAGGACACCCTTCATATTTTGTGACTAAGTTCCTTTGGATGACTCCACACACCTATTTCTACATCTTGAAATTTGAGGGAACCTTGGTTCTTAGAAAGTCCTCCATCTGGCTCCCCATAGCCTGACTTTCAAAACCTCTGTCTTACTTAAAAAGTTCAAAACATCAGCTTTGGTTTTCAATGCCTCCTTAGCCCATCTGTATTTCTAAAAAGGGTAGCACCACTCCATAGGAGGCATTTTAGAAGGCTATGGGGTATGAATTATTAATATTTGGCATCAAGGATTATCAGTGTGCTGATGAGGAACATAGTCCCACAGTGAAAAATCATCCAGCCCAAAATGTGAATGGGTGATAAATCTTTTTATAATATTCTGAGCATAGAGCCTAACTTTGTTTGACTTAAATATAAACCATACATTTGGTTCATATAAACCAGTCTACTGGGAAGCCAAGGCAGAAAGATGGCCAGTTCAAACTCAGCCCGGACAACTTAGCCAGTTTTTATTTTGAGACAAGGTTCTGTCTCAAAATAAAAATAAAAATAAGGTTGACAATACAGCTTAGTACAAAGGCCTTGGGTTCCATCTCCAGTACCACAGAAATAAAAATAAATTTCCCAGTAATGCAGCTATCACAGAAGTGTGGGGAAATCACTCTCTGCTTTGTTTGAAACATTACCAAGGGTTTTGCACTATTTCAAGAGGTCTCCAAGGGCAGTACTATTTGTTGCATCTGAATCATATGGTTGAGTCATCCTTCATGGGTAGTTGCCACAGTCCTAGCAAAAACAGAGGTGCAAATATCCAACAGACATAAGCACATGATAAGGCATGAGTATTGCGTCTTTAGATGTAGAGGCACACAAGCATTACATTGAAATGCATTTTATTTCATCACAAGTCAGCTTCCTCTGTTTCACCTTTCTATTACAGTTGGGGCATGCCAATGATAGTTAAACAGTGTTGAAGTCAGCTAACATAACTCTAAAACTTCCCTCTAAGATAGTAAATGGGGAATAAAAATTATTCATCAATGTGTAGGAAGATGAGGGAGAAGTTGGTGAAAGGATATAAAGTTCCACTTAGACAGGAAGAGGAAGCCCAGGTGATCTGCTGTACATCATGTTGATGATAGCTCATGACAACATACTGTATATTTCACAATGGCTGAGATTATAGGTTTTAAGTGTTCTCCCCAAGAAAGTACATAAGACAATCCTCATGTCAAGTAGCTTGATGTAGCCATTGCACAATATCTGCATCTATCAAGTCATCATTTTGTGTATCATAAATACGTGTACTTTCGACTTGTCCATTAAAAATAAAACAATATAACAAGGACTGGGATCAGATAAGCTGAGGAAGTGCTTTTCTCAGGATTCCCCATTCTTCCTTATTAAGCACATCCTCTGTGCCCGGAGCCGCTAGGTGCTTTCCAGTCTTTGCCTGCTTTCCTTTTCCCAGCTGTGATGTTTAATTTTGGTTTTCATGGGACTGAGGGATGCCTAAAAACAGGGAAAGCACATTTCTGAGCATTTCCGGAGGACATTGGCTGATAGGTCACCAGGCTGAATAGGGAAGATGCAGACTGAATGTGGGCAGCACCATTCCAATAGGCCGGGGGCCTGGATGAAGCAAGCACAATGGATAGACCTGCTCTTTCTCTTGTGCTTTCACTGCCAAGTCGAGGGTGATTTTATGATCCTGTCCAGGGGCATCAGACTCCAGATCCTTGAACTTAGACTTGCACCCAATGACTCTTCAGATTGCTTTTGGGCCTCCAGACTGGACCTCTATCCTGGCTGTTTGGACTGAACAACTATGAGTTTCCCTGGCTCTCCAGCCTGCAAAAAGCTAGGGTGGGGCTTTCCAGCCTCCTTGGCTGTGTGAGCTAATTTAATAAATCTCCTCTTATGATCATACACTGCATTGGCTCTCTTTCTCTCTCTAACACTCCGACCAGCCTATTGGTGATGGCGCTAAAACCTCAAGAATCTAGGTAGACCAGTTAGTGGAAAAGTGAACATACAAATTCAAGTCTATCTGGCCACAAAGGTTGGCATCTTAACCATTCCACACATTTAACTAATGTTAAAAAAAACACCTGGGAAAAGCCATCTTTTATGAATTTTACTTACTGCCAAGTTTGTATTTACATAGTTTAATAATCCGTTCACTGAAAATATTTATCTGGCAATTAAAGAGAGCAGGAACTAAGCACTTGAGTCTTGTTTTAATATTCTCTGTATAAACCAAGTTACCTAGTTGCTTTACTTAGCATGTTTCTGTGCTGTTAAAATGTCTTTAATGTTTTATATGAGAAGAAAATACTAAGTTATTAGCTAACAATTTTATAATGTGATATTTCTCTAGAGTCTTTCATCCAAGAACCCAAAGTATTTTAGTCCTTTACAGAAAATAGTCATACCCTCTCTTTAAAACACGAGTACCATTCTACTCAAGCTGTCATCTAAGAGTGGCGTCAGCTCATAGAGCATATGAAAAGTGCAGAAAGCTCATCCAACTCCAGCAAAAGGGCCTTTCCAGAAGTTGTCACACCTTTAGGTTGACAGAACGTCAGCTGATTAAAAAAAAAAAAAAAAGGGTAATGTGAGCACCCACTATATGCCAGGCACTTTGTACTTTAGATGTATTATTTCATTACTCCATGAGTATAGTACTATTATCCTCATTACAAAAGCAGGCCATCCCAAGGTAGTAAGTGGGCCAAGAGCTTCCAGTGTTGTTCCAGTTGGAATTCAAGCCTGGTGTGCTCCATTACATGAGCATCTACTTAATTCATATATATGGGGACATAGGTACTTAAAGGAATCACAGCTTTCTAATGCCACCATCTTCATAACAGAAGAGGGATGGAGGAATTTGGGATTCAGTCCCCAGCTAAGTTTTGCTTATACTTAAGAGATCTAATTTCTAAGGGACATTCTCAATTATCTCTAACAGATCAGAATTTAGCTGGAGTGGGGGTAGTTGGCATGTCATTTCACTGATGGGAACATTTCTTGGGAAAACCAACAGTGACAGGAAAGCTTGCGTACACTTTTTAATAGCATGCAAATGAGAGACCTGGGAATTCCCAGAACTGTTTTTCCCAATCTTCACCTTCCCATTCTCTCTCCATTTTTGGTCTTGTTAGGTTGATCCCGTGACCTGGGAAAGTTATGTCACTGCCAAGAAACTCTTTCTCCAAAGGCATCTTATGACTCTTGTGTTCTCATTCACCTTCTTTAACTTGTTTTGGGACAGAATTTTTGAAAATTCAATTGAAAATAAAAGAGAGATAAGTATAAAATCAGCAGCCACTGGGTGTCACCACTTGAATATGCCTTGTCCTACATTTCTATAGCAGGAGAAAATCTGGCCTTTCTAATGGAATATTTTGAAACACCTTATATTCTCCAGTGCCTCAGATAAACACATAAGAGTTTAAAATGTGAATTCTGGGACACTGAGATGCTCATTGCTAAGTAATCTACATTGTTACAAAGTATTCATAGCTAAGTAATAATAGATATATTCCCATTTTAGAGACGGATACACTAAACAGGAACAAGTAAACAAAAGGAAGGTGGAAGGGGTCACATTCTTAAATTTTATTATTTAAATAAGGACTTTAATTTCTTATCTTTATATAAAAATAATTGCTTAGAGCTGGAAACACAATACTCATTATTTTGTCCTTGTCCTCACACTCCAATTCTTTATTTATGAAGAGAAAAAAATATATCATTTCAGAATATCCCATGAAGTTAAGATTTATATTATATTTCAAGCTCACCAAGCATAATATCAGGATTTACTGATATTTTAAGCTGTAACTAGATTATTCCTGGCCGTATCTCATTTAATCCTCACAACCAATAATGTAATTATCTGCACATGAAAAGAGAACTGGGGATCAGAGAGGGTAAGCAACTTGTGTAAGATCAAAAAGGAAGCAAAATGAACATTCCAGATTTAAATCCATATTTTCAGTGCCCAGACCCAAGCTCCTTCTGCTATAACTGGCTGCATCTCTAGGGAAGTGCTGTCTTTACTTTTTGATAGATCCCTTTCAAAACCACTTAATAGTGTACAAAACTTTTGGTTAATAAAGTGATGAAAGATGAAAATATAAAATCCAGTAATCATTTCACAATGTATTAAAATATCACATTGTACATAGGGAGTATATTTAAACTTTGTCACTTATTTCTCAACAAGCTGGAAAAATTATTTTGTTAAATACACTAAACCTGACACAGCTGTGTCTTTTGTTATTTAAAATCATTTCCCAGGTCATTCTGTTTGTCCAGGGAATCAATCACACTGTCTCATACCATGAAGCTTAGGAATTTTCTCCTGAACTTCTCAGAGTGACATTCTGGCTTGGGATGCCGTGTCTCTAGATCTTCTGCTGTCTAAAGCGGGACAGCTCTTATCTCCTTTCATAGTGGATGTGTTCCTGCTCTCCTGTTTTTGGCTTGAAAATAACCATTTATCTAAAGAAATGGGATCCTTTCTTATGCCAGAGAGTGTTGGAGAGCCTTGGGGCTGTGTGCTTATCTTCTAAATAGGTACAGTGAGGGCCCAGCAAAGCTAGAAAGTCATAAGTTTTCTGATTCTTCCTTGCCAAGAAGATTAAGCTCAGAGCCAGAGGCTTTTCTCCAGGAGATAAGATAGGGCGCATACATCACCCATACATCACCCCCAGCTCCTGCCAAGCTCTTGCTCTGCCAAGAAGTCAGCTTTTTCTTCATGGCCCAGTGACTTCTGTCCCAGGCTCACACCTTGTTTGTGGCTTTGTCTTTTGACACAGTGTCAAGAACATAACGAGTTCTTTGTATTCTACTGTCTCACTTCAGATCCCTAGGTTATTTTGCAGATGTAGGTTTGGTGTTAATGTTTCATTGACCCTGAGTTGTCTAGCAAATAATTGCATCATGTCATATCTAAAAGGGAATAAAGTTTAATATATGATGATTTTTCCCTTTCCACTCTTCATTGTAAGAAAAATGTAATATTTTCCTGAATACACTCTGCAACTCTCAGCTATTGGAGCATGAAGGGACCTTCTTCTGCTCTTTTCAACATAATTTTCTTGATAAGAACATCATAACAAGCTTAGAAAACAAAACTCAAGCTTTTCCTCTCAAAACCATATCCAAAACAGACAACAGAAATGTATAATAGGTGCCATCAAATTGATGCTCCATCCTTTTTTCTTTATTATAACTAATATTTCAAACTTATATTAAAATAAAATGTAAAACATAAATAGTATTTTTAAAAACATGAACCTTGCTGCGGCCTACCTGAGCCCTATTGTTGGTTAGAGTATGTATGATTAGGGATGTATGATTAGGGATATGGAATGGACTTACGACATTTCGTGAGATAGTGTAGGCTAGTTCATTTATATAAATGCAGAGAAAGTGTTTGATCTCTTTTGCTTCACATTGTAAATAAAGGCATCTCCCATCTTGTTCTGATTTTAAGCTCCCTGGCCATGCCCAGTTGCCTGTTAGTTTCCACCAGTAGCATCATACAATTCCCACCTTCCTACTTCACCTCTGCAGGGGACCATCCTTGCACCAGATGTAGCTGTTCGATAGTGTGTCTCTCACTCATCCAGGACACATGCACTTCGTGGCCACTTTACACCCAGCACCGGTGCTGCACAGGGCAAGAATGGGCAGATGAAGTTTTCCCAGTAAAACCGAAACTCCAAACTAAATATGACTCCACTTCTGAGGTTTCACATTGATGTTCAGAGGGTTTTCCCTCTTCCAGTCCTGTTCCTTCGCTCCTTCATCCGCTAAGTTTCCTTTGAAAAGGTAAATATAAAGTAAAAGAGAACAAATAACCCCAAACTAGTGGATATTCTCTAAATGCTAAGGCATGCACACAGACGAAATGAGTCTTCTGCTCTCTTAAAATTAATACAGACTTCATAAATTTGACATGTAGTTATCTCTGTGTTTATGTCTACGTGATTTTTTTTTCCTTCTTCTGTGAACGAGCTTTAGCCATTGGTCATTCTAAAGATCGGGTAGTTATCTTATCCGGGGAAACCTATTTTGGGAACATGTGCTCATTCGGAGGACACATTTCCTGAGAGAAAGCAGCGAGCTCTGTCCGCCCTCCTGCCAGGCAGGATTAGGATAATAGGAAAACTAAATGAATATTCCTCTGGGCAAAGGTTACCATCAACATTCTTTCACTTTCACAATTCACATTAACAATTTAAAAGGTGAAATTTTTCCAAAACTGCAGAGGTAATAAGGCACTGTCTGCTGAAGACTAATTCAGAACTCTGCCTCCATAAAGAGAATTAATAAAAATCAAAACAGGTATTCTGAAGAACATATTAGTGTAACTTGGCAGAAGTGAAAGGATTTCTCTGTCCTGTTATGACAGTTTGTCCTCTTATTACAAGTTTATTGCTATTGTCTTGCTTTCTTGTAAATTACAAGAGAGCAGATCCCTGTGACAAGTACACACTGTTCTCAGAGAGCAACTTGGGGCCTAATGAGGCTGTAAATGTGATGGTTAAAATCAAGATACTCAGTCCATGGAGCATTCATATCAGAACTCACCCAATTTTTCCAGCAAAGATGTCTTACCAGGAAGTCACATGAGTCAGAGCAAGCATGGCAAGTGAAGGTCAGCCATCACCATGGAATTTCCACCACCCAGGTCTCCGCAGCCGTGCGCCTTCCACATGGGTTCCGAGTTTACAGCAGTTCAGCTATGCATCTCCACCCACCCAGCCTCTCCCACTGGGAGTTAGTTCTGCCCAGGGACTGGAGAAATTGCAAATGTTAATTTTTGCTGAAGGCTATTGGTCCTGATCAGAAGGACCATTAGTCCTCAAAAAACCATAAACTGGTAAAAATACAGCCATGCATAGCACCTCCTAGCTGGCTTACTTCTACTCTTTCTGATCCCCTCTTGCCCTTATAGCCAGCAAAACTTGGGTCACTGCTGATTGAACAAGCTTCTCTCTCTCTCTCTCTCTGCCTCTGTCTCTCTCTCTCAAACAGAAAGCTTTAAAAATTAATTATAATTGAACTAATTAGGATAATATAGATATATTATCAAACAGAGAACCTCAGAATCCCTCATACAATTATAAGACTAACTTTATGTTGTAAGTGCAATTGGCTGTTGGAATGTTTGGGTAGCTGCCCACACGGATCCCAATGAAATGTGTAAAGTAATTGATTTCTTTTTAACTACCCTCCAGCAAACAATAACTCCTTTGTTAAATGTTTTTAAAATGTTCCATTTAAACAACCTATTCCAAATATTATGTGCAATGATACAAAATAGAATTCAAGAAAAAGAACAGAGATCCAGTGTCTCAAATAACTTCAGAGTATGGAATTTATGGGTACCAGGTTCTTTAGTAGAGACTGGGAATGTTAGAAGAGCTATCCTGAAAAAAATTAAAGACAACAAGTGTAAGCAAGGACATTGCAAAAAGGAAACCCTTGCACTATCCTGGTGAAAATGTAAATTCATACAGTTATTATGGAAAATATTATATCTAAGAAAATGTAATGAAATGTAGTTAGTTTTCCATTGCTGTGACAAAACACATGAGAAAAAACACTTAGAGGAGAAAAATTTTATTTTGGCTCACAATTTCAGAGGTTTGAATCCATGGTCAGGTGGTTCCTTTGCTTCTAGACCTGACATGAGGCAGAGGTAGGGCATGGCAGAGGAGAGAGAAAGTAACAGAGAGAGAGGGAGGGAGGGAGGGCGGGAGGAAGGGAGGGAGAGAGAGGAAGAGGGAGAGCGGGGAGAGGGAGAGGAGAGGGAGAGGGAGTTGAAGAGGAAGAGGGAGAGGCAGGTGGAGGATGAGAATGGGAGAGGAGAGGAGAGAGGAGAGGGAAGGGGGAGAGAGGAGAGGGGACAGGCAAAGGTGAAGCCAGGGACAAGAAAATATTCTTCAAATCCGTGTCCCCATTGCTTCATCCAATTAGACACCACGTCGAAAGTTTCTATCTTCTCCCAGTAGTGCCATTAAATTATGAATCCAGCAATGGGTTAACCCACTGATGAAGTTAGAGCTCCATGATCAAATCAACCTCCAGAAGCTCACCACCTGACGGTTAAGCCCCGGCACACAGTCTTTGGGGAACATCTCAGATCCAAACCACTGTGCAGAGACATCTGCACTCATGTGTTTACTGCAGCACAATTCACAATAGCCAAGGAATGGACACAACCTAACTGCCCATCAGTAGGTCAATGGACAAAGAAAACCTGATATGTTATTATATATCAGATACATATCGCATATACACACACACACACATATGAACATATATATGAACTCAGGATATTTTGTTAAGTGAAATAAGACAGGTGCAGAAAGACAAACACCACATGCTCTTTTTTTTTTTCACATGTGGAATTCAAAACAATGGAACTCACAGAAGCAGAGAACAGAATGGTGGTCACCAGAGCCCAGGGGATGGCAGAAACGCATGACGTTAGTCAAAAGGTGCAATGCTTCTGTTAGGCAGGAGGGATAACTGCTATGTATTTGAGGTGAAAAAAAACACACAGGAAGTGTGTCTACTGATTTTCTTTCAGGCTTTTTTTCTCCCTTGATCTAGTACTCTAGGTACCTTTTGTGGCTCACCTGAAGTCGAACAAAGGTGAAGTGGAGAGAAGGAAAACCTTGCTCTTTCTCTCTGGCAGTTTTTACCTCTTCTGCTTTAGAAAGTAATCTGGAAAGGTGCATTGTGACAGGGAAATTGCTAATGAGCAACTAGAATCACCACAGAACTCCCACTGTGTTATGGGGAGCCTCCCACAGAGGAGTCAGCAAAGCCACTTGGTGCCAAATTGGCCTGAAGCAAGTGAGGGATAAGCCCGAGGAAGTCCGGCCTCCACAAGAATCCTCCATACATTTTTAAGAAACCCTCTCACTAAGTGCTAGCGGGAAAGCCAAGCTTACCCTCACAGTGAGCAAGGGGAGAATTCATGCTTCAGATAGGTTTTCTTTTAAACCTACTTATTTACAGATGCATGTGTTTTTAGGAATTCAAACTCTTGTAGGTTGAATCAACAACCATAAAAATTTAAAAAGACGTTAAAGTTCAAATCTATTTACCTGCTCAGATTAGTTGTTCTGATTGCAGTACTTTGATCAATATAGTGTGATACTTGGTTTTCCAGGTCTGTCCATTTTCCATTATGACATCCAATTTAATATGCAGTAAACCTGAAAGAATTTTCACTGCCAAGTTCAAGCAATGTAGTCTAGTCTTTTCTTTGGAAAATTGGTACATAAGTAAATTGAATGTCTCAGAATTAAAGTAATGTAAAGCATCAGCCCAAAGCCTATAGACAATTATTTGCATGAAAACAAAAAGATAGGTCAGAGTGGAAGAAAAACAAAGTCCTGAAGCAACTTTTTCAATCCCCCTTTCTGTTAGAGAGAGAACATTATTTTGCATTGAGACAGTCTCCTTCAACAACTAATTTTATGTTTCTTTTTTTAAAAAATGAATTGTTTAAAAAATATTACACAGATGTGTAGACACTCCCAGATATATATGATAGAACTGCATGTTTGATTGTGCTTTGGAAATTGCAGTCTCATAAAGTGATCCAGTAATTAGTGAGACTGATTTCTTAAAATGTCCAGCTAAACTACTGTCGTCTGCCTATATTTTTATTTTCCTCCATCTCCATTGTGAATTATGTAAAACAGCCCACTCCACAGTAAGAATACAACCCACTTTTTAAATTAAGTTCACCGAAATGATGTGCTCGAGGTACTAATTTCTATTTAACAGAAACATTTCAATGAACCCGTAATATCACTGACCATGCAAAATGAAGCTAATGTAAGAATATTTCTAAAACTCCATTTCATCCCAGGATAAGTTAATCTTTACTCAAAAATATTATCCAAATATTTATTTGAAAAGGATCTTACATATTTGTCTTGAAAACCGCATTTATAAACAAGCACTTTGGGCTGTTTAAAAGGCTCTCCACCAAATTAGCGGTTCTTTCATGTTGTTTTAATTACTTTTTGTGGAAATGTGTTGTGTATGCAGAGACCTACATGAGTTTTGGCTGGATATGGAAGTTTCATTTTTAAAAAGCAAAGAGATGTTGCAGTGTTCTTACAGTTTATTGAGACCAATTTTTACAAATCTAAGTTACCTCCTACAGGGACAATTTTTCTAGGAAAAAAATGGAGAAAATGAGGAAAGAAGTTGAGATTATAGGATCTGAAACCTAGACAGTGACCTCTGCCCTTTCTGAATCACTGGGAACATTTTGAGGTTAAACAGTGATTTATGGGCTCTCCTCGAGGTTTCTGATTTTATGTGAATGATTTTTACATCTCTCAATCCTACAAGGATTGAATAACTGCAAGGTAATTCTGAGAAAACTAAGTGTTTGAGACTCCATATGACTTTCCTTGGCCCCACTGTAATCTCTACTTTTTCAAATGACCAGGTAAACATTATAACAGTTTTCCATCCAACTAACTCACATGCCTTCATTCCACCACTTTATAAATAAGTACATATTTGTACCTTTGTACATATGTTAGACTTATTCTGCTATATTTTGACAGTATTACCTTATGATAGTATACAGATCGATGTCTTTCTTAAAAAGAGTCAATGCTGCTGTAACAATGATCTGGTAG